TATGGTTTTGTGTTATTAAAATCATACCAAAAGATTTCAATGTTTTTATCTTACTCTCATTTTGTATTCATAAAGTAAATTAAAAAAAAAAAATTTTATCACAACCATTATATTATTTATTATTATAATTTTTCAAAAGAGAAACTTTCAAAATTATGATATTAAACATAATTTAACAAAAAATTAAATAAAACAAATTAAATAAAAAAAAACTTAAGATAAATTTTATTAATAATTTCAAAAGAAAACAAAAAAACCAGTTTATTTGGAATTTTTAACAAAATCTAAATAAAATTTAAACATATTGTAAGAAATACCCAGTGCCGGACTCACCAAAATATTAACTGCCCTAGTTTCACAAATGCAATTTCCCTATATCGAATGTAATATCGTATAAAATACGTCATTCAAAAATTAAAATTATCTTTTGAATCACGAACAGTAGTTGAGTAATACTCTACAGGATATAGTTTTTTACTATGGGTAATCACTTGACGCTATAGGTCTTTCACATTTATCCCGAGTATTTAGTTCGCTATCGCCCAATAGAGGGAATCAAATAATCTTATTCTTATTTTAAATCCGACTCTGGCAATACCCATATACTTTATAAGCACTCTTAATGTGTTTCTTGGTAATTTTCCACTTTTAATGACAATTCCAAATACCTCAATTAATTTTATAGCATAAAAAGTTTATTTTGCTCTCTGTATTTTACATACATATATATAAGGGTTCTTTTGTTCAAATAAAATTTAAAATAAGTATGAAGGGTACAAGAAAAAGAAGCAAAGTAATTTTAATATTAATTTATTTTTTAATACTACCAAAATCTTTTAATTTAAATTTCTTATTTATACGCTCACACAAAATTTTTTGTAAGCATTGCATACTTTTAATTGACTTTGTTTTCTTTTAAAATAAATTTCTGAGCGTTTTTTATCCTAATATATTCAAATTGCAAAAAAAACACTGTGAGCTTACTAAAACCAAAAACTTTCTCAATTTAATCACATTCAATTACTCAATAATATTAATGATGAACACAGATGTCGCCATTGTTTTTAAATCGATAAAAGATAATGCCCAATTACGTATTTCATAGATTATCATTTTCAATTACTGAATAATTACTATACCCAATATAACAGATTAAAAACAAATTATATAAGAAGTTTGCACGTTTTCCTAATAGATGCCGCCATATTTATTGACTAACAAAGCATTGTTATTAATTATGTTTTTTACGGATTATTTAGATATTAGAAATCATAACATTTTTACCCATTCCATACCATTTTCCTTTATCATCACAAAATGTACTTGCTATTTATTCCTTTAATAAATATTAAAGCAATTTTCTCAGACTAAATTCACATTAAATCAAAAACTAATTAAGCTTTCAAATGAAAAAGACTTAATTGTATAGAAGAGAAATTACTTTTAAAAGCCATAAAATTAAATACCACAATGTTCTATAATAATAGAACTTCCATTTGTTCTCTATAAAGGACACAGTTTAAACTCTAATATAGATGAAAATTAAAAAGAACGAAGTTCATTATTAATAGGAAAGGAAAATCACTTAATTTTCATTACATTTAAGGATAAAGTACACATATTTGAGAACCAAAAAAAAAACAACACATAAACTTTAAAAGACTGAAATTTTCAATTTAAAATCTTAAACCATAATCTAAGCAATAGAATGAATACTCACACTATGTGCCACATTGCCTTTCATTGAAATGCAAAATTCACTTTTGAAAATAACAAAATTATCTGATTAAAAACTGAATGAATTAATCGTGGAACAAGTGAATAGTTAATTTTTGTTATGGAAATTTCTTATTCAAAAAGGACTCAAAGGACAATCAAATAAAAAAAAAACCAGATTTGTTTAAGGATATTTTCTATAAAGCCTATGAATAATTTCATGTTGCCTTCATCATTTCAGAACTGTTTTAATAAAGTCAATTTTTTTTTTACGTAATCTACATGAAGCAGTAAAATATTCTGAACGTGATACGTACACTAACTGGAAAAAAAATTATTATACAAAAAACAAGAAGAAAACAAAACCGGATATTACAAAATAATAAAACGAAAATAAGAAAAATACGAGTAGCAATTTTAATTTAGCAAACCACCCTAAATGCCTACAGAAAATTTTTCTTTTTGCTGCTTTGCTTGACTCGAAAAGCAACGTTCATTACAAAGGAAATATACGAAAAAGAAAATTTAACAATGAAATATCCGCATTATTAGCACCTTAGAGTATTACACATTTGCTTTGTTTTGTTATTAAAGCACATTTTCGAAAAGAAATTGCAAAAAATTAGCTTAAAAATTTCACTTTGCCTTTGCGTTTGGTCTCTTACAAAATCTCTACATACTTCAAGATTGAAAGCCAATATTTTGTAAATAAATAAGTCTTAATGGAAATCTGATCTGAATCTAACTTTCGATATATTTTTACAACTCACTTACGTGTAAATCAAGGCCATTTTGTACTTTTACTCACTTGTGCGTGAATCATGGCCAAAATTTAATTTTGCAAATATAGAGAGAGGATAATTGATGTCGGTGATGTTAGCAAAAGCCGAAAAACAAAGAAATTACCCATATTACTCGTTCAAATGTCTGTTGAGTGGGTCCTTGAAATCAACCTTTGTCTTAAAGTAGTGTCTATGTAACTGTAGGCTTAGATTTCTAGTGACAAAAACAATCTATACGTATCACTTTGCTGTTAAAACTGCTAACAGGAAAATTAAAATTTTACATTTTTACTAAATATGAGCAATATCATGGGGTTATGTGAGAAGCCTATTTCTAATGAACGCACTTTTCATTGTTTAAAAGAAAATGTGCCATTTTACAAAACTTTCCCATAAATAACTTAATTTTTTTAATATTTTTTTTTATTCATAATTTTCAATGTTATAGAAACCAGTGGGACATAAATTCTTAGTTAATTTATACAAACATACATAAAGTGCACACAAAATATTTTTATTCAGAAGTTAAAATAAAAAAATAATAATAAAAATAACTTTGACTTAAAGATTAATGTTTAACTTTGCCGGGTGTTAAAATTTCATAATCAAAATTCTCTGTAAATTTTATGAAAATTGATATTAATATTTAATAATATGCCCTTGTGACCTTAATGTTCGTGACAAAATATTATCATCAAATGAAATACAAGTGTATAGAAAAGATTTTTCTCTTCTTACATTGCAAACACTAATAAATTTACTCAAACCAAAGCTTTAATCGAGAGATCAAAGCAAGAGATTTAATTCACTTGAACAGAATTTTTTTTTTATTCTAATTCACTCCCAGGAGGAGCATATAGGACTGATGCATAATATTTTATGAACCAGTTTCTTACATCATTGAGTTTACTAGGTAAGTGACGAATCTAATTTAAACAGAGTGATATACAAAATTTAAAAAAATAGTAATCACAAGTTAAGTTCTCTGGAAAAAACGAGATTAAGTTACCTTAAGACTATACCATCAATATGATACTCGTAAGAATATAAGGTGTTGATATTAGTGATATTCGTATATGAGAAATACTAAAAATATCATGCCATTTTATGGTAACATTTTCAACATTAAAAAATACTACACAATCGTGTAGTATTTTTATACATGAATACTCGCACAGTCCCGGTAGTTATTTAAAATTACGAAATATTACTAGAAATTTTCGACACTACAAGGACTCTTACAACTCAAGCTATTACAAATAACAATTTCGAAAGAATTTTACAACTATGCGTTGAATAATTTTTAAAATTGAATTATAAGCTATACTAGAAATTGAATGAGAACTCCTTGACCTTAAACCTCAATACTTTCATTTAATACATAAAGTGATCTGTGAAAATTTTTTTTTATAAGCACTGGGAGAGCAAACAAACTAAATCGACTTAAAAATCTGAAACTGAGACAAAATATACAAAAGTATTTCATATACCATTGCAATTAAATTTAAAAATTTAAATATTATTTTTTTAAAACCATTGCAACCCGGTGCAATATTTTAGATGAACTGAAGTGTAATGAGTTTACTGGCTTAAACTCGAATTAATTATGGTGTACACATAGTCTTTGTCAAAAAATTTTCAAAAATTTGTTAATTTAAAATTATGCAAATATGCGGAACGAAATCCTCAAAACTGAATTTTAATAATTTTGGAACAAAGGATACCACAAATTATTTTATAATTTCACAAAATTTTCAAAATTTTAAAATGTAATTAGTGCATAATAATAAATTTTAAATATTAGTTGAACTACACAAGGCCATTGTGCGTACAATATGTTTTTGAAAAATCACAAAATTAATATTGAAAATACAAAATTTTATAAATTTCAAAGGACCTATTTAAATAAAATTTATTTTCGAATTCAATTAAAATGTTCTTGTTTTAGAATGTTTTCTCCATTTTAATTTATATACGCGAATTGTTCATATGTTCAATTCCATCGGGACAACAATCATAAATAAAATTTTCACAATTCAATTTAAAATATTCATAATTTATGATTATTATAATATATATACATTAAAGAATATTTGTAATTGAAAATTTTAATTAAATACCCAAAATAATTCTATGTACTTTTTTTGTGCGGTACATAATGTTGGGGCTGTACATGAAATATAACGGGAAAGAAGACGAAAACAAAACACTTAAAACCTCATAAATTTTGTCCGCAATATACAGATCTCGTTCCGCTACTGCCAAACAAGTAGATATGTTTGATTGAGTGACCTGGTTTAGCTTAATAATTTTGAATGCTTTGCCGAACTATTAAAGTTCTAGTTCTTTATGTGCATAAGGATTCTAAGAAATTAATGCTCTCAAATCCTTAATTTTAGCAAAAATAAAGTTTCACAAAATATTTCGAATTTCCGAATGACAATTTTTCAATTATTTTAGAAGAAATATTAAAAAACAAGAAAAATAGGATTAAAAACTTACCTGTCACTGTTTAAATAGTCGCTGGACGAACCACATATTTTTAGAGAACAGTTTCCTGAAACGTCTCCTGAAAAGAAAAAAATTTAAATTACCTAAAATATTCATTAACATAATAAATTTTTTCAAGAAAGTACCTAGATTCGAAATAAAAAAAAAAATATTAATTAATTAAATTCAGTACGAAAACTAGTAGTCATAGTTGCTCTTAAAGAACCTGAAAGCAGTAAGTATAGAGTCCATTTAACGCAAAAAGAAGATTTCGATGGATTTTTGATAATTTGCACCAAAACTGTTCTAGAGGTCCCGCAGCATATTTCAAGGGAAATGTGCAATTTAAAATTTCAGATTTCAATTACAATAAAAATCCTCAACATTTTTGAAATCAGTAAAATAATTGTTTAAACATTGAAAGCCAAATGTAATTGAATTTAATAAATTTTGTTGCTAACATGCACCCACATGGGAAGAATCGAAAAATATTGAAAATATTAAAAAGAAATTTTTGAAATGAAATTTTCAAAACCAACAAAATTTTTTAATTACGTCAATACTTTGATATTCGAAAACGAGACCTCACCAGAATTCCTATTTCTTCCATCTACATTATATAGGTAGCCTATAGTCATTTTAAATGTAGGTAAATATTTAATATTTTTTTTTTTGAAAAAATCAACATTATTATTTAAGTTGAAAAACAGTAAACCATAATGGTTCTTGCATAATTAAAAACGATCCTTAAGATAAAATGTAAAAAAACAAAAACAAATATTCTAAAAAAAATTTCAAGGATAATTTTAATTTAAAAAGGTGTTGATTAAAAAACAAAAAAATGGTCAATATTAAACAATCTAAAAAGAATCCTTAATAACAATTATTAAAAAAAGAAAAATGTAGGTTATCCTTAATATCATTCCTTTGTTCTTTTTATACTAAATTAGAATTCTTCTCAGTTTTTCTTTTCTTTTTTTTTTGGATTATATTACGGACCACCTACTTATAATTCCTTATCTGTAAGTATCCTTGAAAAATCACTATCACAAAATAATGAGATTTACTTACAGGAAAGTAAAATTTTTACATCAAAAGTTTACTTCAAACTCCAATCGATTTTAAGAATTCCTATGCTAAACATCATAAAATTGTGACGCAAACAGGTAACAAGCTGTCGTAATATTTTCTGTAATATAAGTGTCCCATATATCAAAAACAAAATGAAGTTTGAAGTATTAAAATTCAAGATTCCTTAATTAAATCCATGGTTCATAATCTTGACATAGTTAATAACCTCATACCGACATTTAAGTTCAAGATTTCATAAATAATGAGCTGTTCTATTTTCTTAAGCAGTATGCCGTCTGAAATCTAGTATATGTGGAGCACAACATTCAAACATAACCAGAATGGTATGTATTTTAATCAGATTTTTTATAAAGTTATTTTGGTTAATTGCAGCAAAATATTCATTAATTTTAATTTTAATAAATTCCGAATAAATGCTTGGTAGACATTTCTTTAAAGGTCTTAATTAACCTACATACATAAATTATTAGAAAACCTTGATATCTACCTCTTAACATACTGCATATAAAATTTATTTCCGAATTTGAAATTACATTTGACTTGTTGAGTTTGGAATGCAATGAATATATGTAAGTTTTTTTTTTTTAATTTAGCTTTGCTTACATCCAAGAATACAAATGCTAATATAGAATTTGAATTAAAATCGCCTTCCTTTTAAAATTGTCTTGAAAATGTCAGATGTCGGAAAAAAAATAAAGCACAGATGACGATTGTGACAACTATTGATATTTCGAATCGGTAATTATTTGCTGCGATTTGTTACTGCGAATACTAACTACCAGTTATTTTGATATTCCTTTTTTATAAAGAAAAATGATTTTCTTTATAAAAAAAATTGAAATGCAGAACTTGGTTTTCATAATCGTTTTCACTCGATTTCAGGAACAATCACAAATAATTCTTCATCATCCAGGGAACAAGGCAGGAAATGTTAAATATCTATGTTTATACATGGAGACAGGCAACTCTCCAAATGACCTATATTCATTACAATACAAGGATTATATAAGAAAAATGAATAATTTGTACATTTTAATTTTTCTTATCTTTCTTTAGGATGTTACTTACTATTATGTATGTACACATAATATGTTTTCCTCTTGAAATTTATATACATTATAATAAAAACGGATATATTTTCAATGTTTCAAAATTCAAGGACATTTTACCATAAAATTGTATCACAAAATGACACTTTGATATAAAAAAAAATAATAATAATAAAATGCCTACACATATTTAATAATTATAATGCCCATTGTATGTGTGTGTGAGTGACATACTTACTATCCATACAAACATACATATGTATATACTATATTTTATGATTGCTGGACAAAAGAAAATTGCGTATATTTAATGATGATATTTTTTATAATAAAATAAATTTGACATGACAAAAAAAAAAAAAACCCAATTTCCTCATGGTTGACACATAAAAAGGATATTTTTTTTTTTGTAATGAAAACCCAAACAAAATACCCAAACGTTACATTTCCTTTTAATTGTTTTTGTTTTGTTCCCATTTAAATTTAAAAAAATTAATCTCCCTGTGCTGACAGAAAGACAAACGCCTTCTGCTTAAAAATTCTAAGAAATGAAAAATAATATTCTTTTATTTTACGTTTCTAAATTCCTTTAATATTTGATTTCAACAATATGAACTCTCAAATTAACTTGATATTCCATATATAGTGAATTAAAATCGCCTTCCTCAAAAAATTTAACTTGAAAATGTCAGATGTCGAGAAAAATAAAATAAAAATAAAATAAAAAAAAACAGATGACCTTAAATTTGTTAACACTGTTTGTAGGTGAATCTAGGAACAGATAAAAAAAAAATAATGTTTTTTTATTAGAATTTTTCTTTTGTATTTTGTTTATGAAAAGCACAGCTGTCATTTAAGTAGACCCAATAAATGTGGTTAAAGTATGGTAACAATGATAAACAAATTGCGTATAATTCATTTTTGAATAATTTACTAATCGACCCAGTTAATTAATTTTTAAACGATTTAATTAATAATTATTAAAATTTTAATTTGTGGTACAATGATTTTCTGGCGGAAAAAATGCGGTGGCAGAATGGATCTTTGCCGGAAAGAATTCCATTGCCACATTTTATTTAGTTTTAAAAGACGCAATCGATAATATAAAATGCGCATTGAATTTTTTTGCAAATTATTCAATATTTGCAATTAACAAAAGCATTGTAACTTTTAATGTATAGTTTAAACAGAGTTGTACAGTTGCATGTCGTAAGATCAAAATATTTTGATATGCCATAAAAAATTTCAATTGCTGATTTTGTATTTTGTGTAAGAAAAATCTTTAAGAATATAGGTACATAATTCTTTAATATATATGGATGGCATATTTTAAAAGTGACCTAAATCCAAAATTTCAAAGAAAAATGAATTATTCCACCATTTGGGTTTGGAGATTGTGGCTTTGTACAATCTGAGTAACACGGCACCGCTACCACATATAAGGATCTATTGCGCCTTCGTCCTCCTCTGAGTGCGAACATGTCCCTACAGTACCCGACAGAAATTCACCGCCCTGATGAATTATAATATATTTATTCTCCTGTCCAACAATTCTATATGTGTGTATGTATGTGAATTTCAATGCAATTATTGACCATTATCATTGTTTTGAAGAAAAATGAATCGAATTTGGAAAATTTCTGATACCAAACAACTCGAAATCAATTAATGTAAAAGAACTGGGAATTAAAATGTTTGGGTATTTTATATAAAATAATTTTGTGAGCTTGAAAAACTTTTCCTCTTTTATCTATTTTGTTTTCTTTTGTCTTAATCTGCTAAGCACAATACGTTCTCTTGTATAAATCAAAAAGAGTAAAATTCTGGAGGTCTGTTTTTTTTATGATGAAATATGAAGGTGATTTTAACTTTAAAAAACACAAACGGCGCAATTATATTTTTTTTTTCCAAGGAATAATGCAAACCTACCTTCATTTTTCTTTCTTATTGTGATTTATCGCATCAAAAGTCTTAAGTTTATTGTTTTTCGGTTTTTGTTTTCATTTCTTCAAAATAAATTTTCTTTTTATTTTCTTTTATCATCTGCATTTGAAAATTCTCGGAAAATGTTGAAAAATTTTCTGTTTAAATTATGTGGAAATTCTTCTATCCAAATTTTATTTTTTGTTATTCTGTTTTTTCGTCAAAGAAAAAAAAATTTTAAAAGGAAAAGTTTCTCATTTCATTTTTAAGATGGTAGATTTTTAGCTCATTTCTGTTCCTTGAAGCTTGAAGCCTTCTTTTGTATTCAATAAAATTTTTAGAATATTTTTGTATTTTCTTTTGGTTTTGATTTTTTATTTTAAAAATAAAACTTTTTTATTGATTTGAAAAAAAAAATTGAATAAAATTTCAAAAAAAATTTTTTTTTAATTTAAGAACTGACTGCTCGGTTGCTTGTTTAAAAAAATTTGTCTTATAAGAAAATTTCAAATTTTTGAGTGATTTTTGTTAAAATTTATGCCTATTCGGACTAGCAACAGAATAAGCCAACATTGAACAACTAAATTAATTTACAGTAAATATTGAAGACTAACTATTGAAGGACTAGCACGAGGAATTCAAAAATTTTTTAAAATTTTGTCCTGTTAAAAAGAAATTCAAATAAATTAACAAGTGGATGAAAGTCATAATATTGTAGAATTCAATTGAACTCACATCTTTTCCAAAAAAATATTTTAACATCTCTCTTGCTGTTCCGCTCTATGACACGTGCACTATAATATTGTCATTAAATTTTCTATAAAAAAAATTAAATTAAATATTTCACTTCAATGTTTAAAAATATTTTATTGCTTAAAAGGTAAAAAGTATAAAATAAATCACAGTATTTTTATTTTTAATTGCACTTTTATTAATGCTATACATGAAACGTTTAAATGGTTGATTGAACAAAATACACTTTTATTTGTTTCAAGTTTCAATAGAAAGCAATTTG